CAACTGAAAATGAAACGCTGAGTTTCATAAAAATGAGGAGTTTGCAGAGAATTCAATTTATAGTTTTAAACCAACAGAAGATATGAAATTGAGAAGCACTGAATAAAAAAAATAGTATTGGTGTTAGGGAGAGTAAAATTCTTATAGATGCCACAATTCCATTTCAAAGCCTTGGGGATACGAGGAAAGAAGAACCCAGATGAGAAGGTCAATAAAGGGCCAGTTCCACAATGCAAAAAAACTGTATTAGGCGGCAGAGTTTACTCACCTATACATGAATAATAACCAAAATATATCATTCAATGTGACCTTCAAGGAAATGATGACATAATTTACACCTTTGTAAACATGTACATCACATTTGTGACCCCTGTCATGGATGTTAAAAACTGAGACCAGGTCTATAAAATGGGTGTAGAAATTCTCAGGATTTGGAGAACCAGGCAGCATTCTTGGAATACAACTTAAACTCATGTGTTGTGCTATTAGTGATCTTTTGATCTTATTTAACCTTACCTAGAACCAATTAGCATAGTTTTTTCCCACCTAGTCCACAGTCCGTGTTTTAAACCTAGTCCATGTTTTAAACCCAGTCTGCAGTCCATGGTCCGCAGTCCACAATCCGCAGTCCATCGTTTATACTGACTGATATTATTAGTGACACCCCTGAAAAAATTCTCTCTCAAATAGGCATGGTGCACTAACAAGTCCAAGAATCACGGAGTGCTGGTTCATGAAATAAATATGTGTATATGTTATCTTTATTATATGACAAATAAAGTGGACCACAATTTACCTCATCTTTAACCTTCTCTTTATATACACTAATCACTGTAATGCAAACAATTCCACATAGGATCAAGCCAATAGAGACAAGGAAGCCTACCCAATCTTGAACACGACAGTTACTGTTTCTGGCTATTAGTAAGAGAAAAAAGGAAATAATAACATATGATTTTGGTTGAGCAAATAGTTTACTGGAAAAGATTTAGCAACATGGGGAAAAAACTTTCAATTTATTGGTTTGAATATCATGCATACAAATAAATTATAATTTTATATACTGGACAAAGTTTTAGAAACTCAATTAGACCCTTAACGAAAATTAGACTGGACACCAGACACCTCCCTAGAGGGGTGTCTGAATAATATCACCAAATAAGACTTTAATGACCACTTCTGTGTCGATTGCCGACTACCTTTCTACTCTGACGCTGACATAGCTGGATGCAGTTACTCTTTCTGTATCTAATACCGCATATTCATCACCTACAATTGTGTAAGTTTAGTGTATATTGAAGTGGATCATTTATTTTTTTAAACAGCTGTAAGCCACCTAAGACTTACTCATAGAAGTATATTCACAAAATGGCAATGGATGCAGATACATGGGAGGAGGATATGACCTATGTGAGTTACGATTACTTTATTGAAGACATGGATATGCTGATACATTGATCCAGTGACAGCGTACTGGTATCCGTGCATGGAATGTATCCACCCATTTTAGGTTATTTTTTTCCAAGTGGCAAAAAGGATTTTTTGTAGTTAATTCCAAAATTAAACAAAAAAGAAAAAGTGTGAGCAGTTAAACATCAGTCATCAGAGTGTGGCAGAAGTCAACTAGAATTCTCTGTGCACCTACCAAGCACCGATATTAAGTAGAAGTGGCAAAAAGAAAGAAGAGAAAACTTGTGCTGGCACTCGCCATGCTCTACAGGGTGGGTTGAACAAGGGATATAATACATTAACTTAGCTTTGTATCAGAAAAAAAATTAGAACTACTCAGATCTCAGATAGGAGTGTTTCTTCTGGGGGGGAGCAGGGGGGCTGCCATATAACTGGGCTATATTGTGGTGATGTGAAGGGTATAGTCTTCAAGCAGTTTACTCATGGATAGGGTATGTAAATCAGAGCGTCTGGGTCTACAATAAGGTATCATTTTCCAGGAAACTGATCAATTATTGGTTGAAGATTGTAGCCTAGACTAGGGAAACCAGGAATTGCCACTCACAAATATATAAAAATCAAATCGGCAAGTTTAAATTTATGCAACTCTGCCTAAAAGCTACTCTAAGATAGGAGGGATTTGGGGAGTTTAGTCTATTAATACAAGGTAGCAAAATTCAACTGAACTAGCTCTGGCATGGGCTAACGGTTCCAGGATTCCAGTGGCACACCCCAACCCAAACATTCCTAAAGAGCAATATTTGAGGACCAGCAAAAATCGAAACTGAGGATGAAGAATCACTAGTTGTGTTCCTGTGAATCCTGTGTTGTTCACGCATGAGCATTTAAGCATCTAGTGCATGAACCTCCATAAATTATTTTTGTCTCAGACGTTTACTTGAAAGTTTTAATAATAAGCTTAAGTAAGCTTAAGTCTTCATCAGCTACTTGTAAATACAAATTCTTTGGATGTACACCTATTTCAATAAAGGTTGCTTTGGGAATTGTGCTTTGGTCTTTGAGAGCCATTTTTTTTGTCACACAAGCAAAGCATTGCATTTTATTATGCGTTTCAATGACCAAATCTCTTCATATATCGCATATTCTCTCAGCCCTTTTACAAGACATACCTTCAATAGCCCTTTGCATGAGTGGTACATTATCTTCCTCGTCTGAAGTAAGCATCTGTGGTCAAACTGAAAGTGCAGAAACCCGTCACTCACAAAACGGAAAGAAAGTTTGTATCATGCAAAAATGTAACAGGCATTCATGCCTTATCCCCAGTCTCCCAGCTGAGCACTGCTGTGCAGAGGACACCCGAGCCAATTTTTTGCCAAAAGCGCGAATGAGAAAGAACGTTGATATTCAGTTGAAAGACGGCCTTGAAATACTCGATTGAAAGCACATCTGCTAGTGTTGGAATTTTGTTCGTACTTCTCCAAACGAGATGAATTCCTCTATCAGAAGAAGACTGGTAAGTTAGGATACAGATATCACCGTGTCAGACCGTTCGTTCGAGTGCCACTCAGTATATTTAGTTCCAAGGACTCTAGCCTGCGAACAGCAGACACATTTCCGGTTGTTGCCTCTCTCCCTCTTTTTCGGAGGGAGAGAAGCGACGACCGGAAATGCGTCTGCTGTTCGCAGGCTACAAGGACTCTGGCTCAAATATATAATTTACTGACTTAGTCCCGATTTTGCTGAGTTCTGACCAAGAAGAAGGTAAGAAGAATTTTATCACAAGTGTTTAGTGACTAGGGGGTTTACCCCATTGACACCCTCTCATTTTGAAAATATCCTTCCCTCCTTAATTAGTCTCGCTTGCGTAAGCAGCGAGACTCATAATCTGCAACGCGTTTTTCGCGGGGGTGGGGCGGGGGGGTAGTCCCCTATATAGGAGTAGGTATGTGCTGCGCCAAAGAGTATGTTTTTTTTTTAGCCGTTCTGGTCCGAAATAGGGTATCAATTTCGACCATCTTGGTCTGAAATAGGGTATGGTTTGTGCACTCTAGTCTTGAATTGGGTATGTTTTTTAGAAGAATTAGCTACTTCTTCATCATTGGGCGATAAGACCATTTCCCTTTTAATGTTTAAGCCAACTACCGTGTAAGTGCCGTAACAGCTTGTCACGCGCTCCGGTCAAGCGCCGGGCTCCAGGGCTTCAGTTCTGAAATAGGGTATCAAATTTTTGATCAGGCCTGAAATAGGGTAGGGAAAATCGCAGATTTTGGTCTGAAATAGGGTAAGGGTTTCAGGAAACGTGACGCACACCCCCTCCCAATTTTTCTGGAAGTACCCCCCGGAATTTTTGGTCGTATTTTTGGGACATAAAAGGCAGGTCATTGTGCCAGGCATTCCTTGCGGAGACCGTGGAAACTGGGACTAAGAATCGTTGCGTGATCGAAGCCACGCATGTTTTGCGAAGCGAAGAAAGCTTAAGAAAGATTAAGTTTAGAGCTTTTCCGAAACGTGTCGGTCCACGAATTCTATCGCTTGAAAGCGTTGATTACTTTGGAGCAAGTGAACACGGCTTAACTGCAGAATACCCTGCCACTTATTTGCATGTCATTGAATAAGAATAGCATCTATTGTGTTATGCTTCGTTCTTCAAAGAACGCCGACCAACGAAAACAATGGTGGTACAGAGTGGCAGGGTATTCAGCAGTTGCCGTGAACACTGACTACTGAGTGGTCGGAAAAAAAAAAGAAGAATCTTAATTAGCAAAATTGCAATGGTCGGGTGTTGTAAACTTTCGCTGTATGCAAATGAGTCTTGTGATGAGCATGCGATTTATTTTTGGCGATGATTGAAATGACGTGCCGTGTAAATCACTTTTTCTATCTCGGCAATGATGTAATGTAATTTCTCTGGAATCGAGGCCCTTGAATTTTCGTGTATTTATACACGCGCATAACCTGCTACCGCAGAGGTATTTTTGGTCGTCGCTAACACGCGTACTAAATCAATTCAGAAACAAAGAAAAAGTATCGACGTCGATACAGTAGGAGGTAGCGAGTAAATCATGTTTCTTGTAGAATTAATCGCCTCCTCGATCTAATCTCCGAGCAGGCGAGACCTGTCTGCCGCTGTAAGCGCATTCTTGTTAAAAATTCGTAGAGCACTCATTTTACTTTTTTTTGTTTCAGCTTTCCCTGAAGAGTTTGGTCTTTAATGTGTTAACCATGCCAGACAACGAAACTGGTCTTAGTTGTCTCCAATCAGCCTGCGTAAAAGGAGACACCGAGACAGTCTACGCTATCTTGAATAACAGTCCAGATAAACTCGACAGTGCTATAGCTCTGAGTCTCAAACCGGTGAGAACGTATGCCGTTTTAATAGTCAGTCAATTTTGACTGCCTTGGGTGCACTCGATTCTGAAAACCACAAGCAGATAAGCAATCTTGTTGAAAAAGTCGCAAAGGATTTTCAATCTCAATCCCTTCTACATATAGCTGCAAAAAAGGGAAACATTGAGCATATCCGAAGGCTGTTAGATTTTGGAGAGTTCGTGGACTGTGTGCCACCGGACAAGTCCGGCGTAACTCCGCTTATGTGGGCAGCCAGGTACAATGTTGAGAAAATTATTCAATTCTTGGTCGAAAGGGGTGCTTCTCTCGAGATCCAAGATGGCGATGGTTACACGCCATTGCACCATGCTGCGATGGGTGGCAAAGAAGCTAACATTGTATGCTTAATTAAACTCGGAGCAGATATATTGAAAAAGAGTTATCGGCGCTATTCGCCAGTTCACTTGGCCTGTATTGATGGTCACAAAGAAGCCGTCCGTCTTCTTCTAGGCCATGGAGCAGAAGCATCAAGAGAAGGGGGTTTTATGGTTGGATCTCCTTTCACGTCAGCTGCACGCAACGGTCACCTTGAAATCGTTCAGCTACTAGTAGAAAGTGGAGTTCGTGTGAATAAGCGCTCAGTCGTGGGTTGGTCGGCTCTACATGAGGCTGTTGCAGGAGGCCATATTCATGTTGTGAAATATCTGCTTGAGAAAGGTGCAGATATTCAAGCCATTACCACATACACCCGAAAGGGCAAAGAATATCACCAATCTGTTCTCCACTTGGCCACTAGTCTGGAAATGTTCCGTTTACTGATTGAAAACGGTGCTGACATTAATGCGCTAGAAGACTTTCAGTACCCAACTCTTCATGTAGCAGCAAAATTGGGCCATAATGACATTGTAGACTACCTTTTAAATCAGGGTGTCAATGTCAACTTACGCATTGATCACTCTAGATTGTCAGCTTTGACTTGTGCTATTAAAGGGGACCAAGATGCCACTCTTAAACTTTTGATTGAGAGAGGTTGCTCTGTCGACTATTGTGATTCATGTTTATCGACATTATCAGCCGGAAAAGGCTTTATAGCTGTTTTCGAACTTCTTCTAAATAGAGGAATATCTGTGGATACGATGGATAAAAATGGAAAAACACCTCTTATTGCCGCAGCTGAGGCTGGGCAGGCTGACATGGTTGAATTTCTCCTAGATCGAGGTGCCAGCATAAATGGTACTCGTAACGAATTTAAGAAACTTAGTGATGAGGGGTATGCAAGTCAGGGTAAACACAAATCAAGTTTCCCTTTATACCATGCATTGAAGGCAGGTCACATTGAAGTTGCTCAGCGTTTGATAAGACGTGGAGCTGATACTGTGAACTTCAAAGAAGAAATAGACAGATTAGGTTCAGCTGATTTTGTTAAAACTACAAGGCTGAAATCAGCAGCTGAACGTGGAGAAGGGTGTGGATGTAAAAGCAAAGAATAAGTGTTCCCCTGAGGTGAAACTGCTCTTCTTTGCAACGCGAAGCATGCTAACAAATCAAATCAAATCACTGGTTTATTGCCCCTTTTGCAGTCGGAAGACTGAATTGTAGGATACCTTACAAGCTGTGATATATATACTAAAATATGCTACATTTATTAACAAGATTCATATTCAACACTAACAAAATTTGAGAAACGTTCAGTCCTTGTGGCCATGGGCCTGCTAGAACTCCCTGATCTTAGACACAGACTGGTAGATATAGGTATCACTCTGTTGTGTATTAGTGAGTATAATGACTAACGACTAACGTGTTGTTAGTCTGTTAGTAAGCTCTCCGGGGCGCTCTGGCGGCAGGGCGGGAAGTTCAAGTGCAAGTTCAAGTTTATTTATTCACACTTATTCAATTACAATACAACAACAATAAGAAAAAAAAAGAAGTAAAAACAGAGCTAACTATACATTGAATTAAACATAATAAACGAAAAAAGTGTGTAGCAGCTAAAGGAGCCAAGCTTTCGAGTTGGCTACTACCACCGAGCGGTTACAAGTGGGTGGAGGTTATACAGTACACCCGTTAAACTCTCCATCCGCTAAGAGCTGGGTAGAACTCATATCCATTGACTATCATTCGTTCACATTTAAGAATAAACGTGCTGTTTTCTCTCGTTGTTAAAAGAAGTATTCTGTGCATTGCAGAGAGTACATTTTCAACAATGCGGTCAAATGGTTACTTCGGTATGGTGCTGTTGCTAACTTTAAGAACATCTTTACATGTAGTTGTGATTTAATAATGTCCAAACAGTCAAGTTGCAAGGCCTGTACATCCCTGTAGTTGCAGCAAAACGTCTTTTTTATTTATCGCGTTCGTCAAAACGCATCCTAATCTTGGTGTTCCTGTGGTACAGAGCCACACATTTTCGAGGTATCGAAGGCGACTGCCGATTAGCCGCCCCCACTGATTTTAGTTAGTTTAAATGGAGCCCTGACACAAACAAAAACAAGACATTAAAAAATAAAAGAGACTAGACAATTAATTAAGTTATTTCAATAACTTAAAAGTACAGGTAAAAGTAACTAATAACTTACGTAACTAATAACTTAAAAGTACAGGTATTATTGTATAAGATAACGTCTGAGCTTTATCTTAAATTCGCTGAGCGCCTCTATCTGTCTGATGTTTCCCGGTAGAGTGTTGTAAGTGGGAGCACCGTTTATTTTAAAGCTTCCTTGGAACTTATCAGCTTTCGTAAAAAGGAGAACGCAGCAAACCATGACTTCTAACTGTAGCTATGAACTTGGTGCGCGTCCCTAAACTCCCACAATAAGCACAGTGGTACCATTCCATGAAGAAATTAATAGACTAAAGGTTGATTTCCACTGAAGCGTGTTTGACTACGCACGTTAACGCTCGTAAATTTTAATCACGTAAAAAAATAGAGGCAAGATATAAAGTGTTGAGATTAAACGTGAAGCTGAGCGAGGTTCAACTTTTACGCTTACGAGAAACCGTTCATGCATGGAATCAATCTTACTAACGACCCTAAATTTTACGCACGTAGGCACGTAAAAATTACGCGACAGTGGAATTCAACCCTGCACTTCAGATATATAGTCTCTAAGCGCTTGAAGGCAGAGCCAGCCAATTGTCGACTTAAAATTGTCAGCCCTGAAAGATCGACCTTCAATAATACAGGCGGCACGTCTGTTTTGTTTGTCTGGATAAGATTTGCTCCCAACCCCACAACTGTCCTAGACAGACGACAGTAGTCGAACAAAGGCAAGACTATAGTATTGATAGAGGTTCTGACAATTAGATTTGGGAAGAACCTTGTGCGCTCGACGCAGAATACCTAACCTTGGCCTGATCTTATTGCCAATCTACTGACCAAATACTTTGAATGCGCATGGTTACATAGGACCTAAACCACTGGACAGCGGAGCGATTCATTCCGAGTGAAGTTATTAACTTATCTAACATGATGCTATGGTTTAAAGTGTCGAAGGCCTTACAAACATCTACGAAATTAGGCCATTTAATAACCCTTTATTAATGTTCTCCAACAGAGTGTTCGTCACCTGAGTGAGGCACGTAGATGTAGCGGAGTGGGCGGAAGCTGGATTGGAGAGGAGAAAGAAAAAAACAAAATAAGTAAAATATCGTTTATTCCACTCTCTTGCAGATAATCGAATTAACAAGCGGTTATAACTAACAATAATGCTGGATTAAAGCTATCTATTAATTAACAATTAATGAATTAGGCTGAGTATCTTATGAAAAATTATGGAGATCGAGGACCCTCCGAGATCCCCATAATTTTTCGTATGATACGAAAGCCGAATTTAATAATTGTTTTATTATTCATTCAAAATAATTCCTAGTTTAAAAACATAGCTAAAACAAGCTTACCTGCATCGATGTTAAGTTTATCTTCGATAGTTTACGTTTAGGTTTGTCCAGCTCCGCAAATATTCTCCAAATAGCAGATGTCGCCCTCCGAGTTGTCTTCTTGCTGTTTTTGCTATGTTTTTAGCCATTATTTCGCCTAGTTCCAGCTGTAGTTCTTACTCTTGAAACGAGTGAAGTGTCCGCCATTTTAGTTTTTACAACGAGAATCAACGAGAACAACTCAATCTCGTTCCCAGGTCTTCTCGGTTAACGGTGCATTAACTTGAAGAAGGCTGCATTTTTGACGTCATTTCCTCGTTAAACACAAAATTCTTCCAAATTTGGTCATTAGTAACTAGTTATGGTGAATTATGCGTGTGCTTTTAGCCAATCCGAATTGGGAAATATTTTGAATGAATAATAATTAGTTTTTATTTTTATTAGTTTATATTTTTTTTATTTGCAATAACGACATTAAAATACAAAAATACAGAAACACACTAAAAGGGAAAGAGAGCAAAAAAAGTAAATGGACATTACTTACATCAACATACGTAACAGCTAATTTACAATATCATTGCTTACAATTTACGTTATTAGCTTAATTATTAGGTTAATTACATGGGAGAGGTCTAAAAGAGATAATAAGTACTTCAAGTTCATCTTTCTATTTTCCATTGTGTTTTTAAATTGCTTATAAATTGCGTACGGTTAAAGGGCATCACATTAATTTTACAACAATATACATAATTTTAAATAAGCAGGATAAGTAGTTGAAGTTGGCGTATGAGGTTATCATTTATGGAACCAGGAGTATATTTCTGCATCAGAATTTTCTCAGGGGACAGATTTATGAGAGTATTATGGGACACATTAAACCATGATAAGATTTCATGATCAGATAAAATTTCACATTTTTAAATGTTAAATTTTAAAAATGACGAATATTTAAAAGTAAAAAAGTTCTCAGATTTCTTAGTTCTCACGAACTTATTAAATGGTCGGGAAGAACCAGGTCTAAGGTTATAAGGATTAGTTCTTTGTACGCAGTGGACACCAAGCACGATAATGGGGTGGTCACGGATGTCTACCATCTCAGCCATAAATTTATAACATAGGAGCTCGCCTACGTTGGAAGGTGTAGTTTCGTTGGCTAGCGACAGTGCTTTACTGTACTAATTGTTAGGATATATGGGTTTAAGTGCCCTTTTTGCACTGACTCTATTCTGTCTGACAGGTAATCAGGAATGTCTTGCCACACTTGCACGGCATATTCTAAAATCGGTCTAACACTCCACCTAAGAACAACACTGTGATCCTGTAAATAGCTGTAAACCATACGGTGGACAGCTATCCGTTCAAGCATATTAGAGAAAAGAAAAAGTACAGAGATTGGTCGGTAGTTCGATGGGTCAGATTTCGAGCCAGCTTTGTGAACCGGCGTGACGACAGCATGTCTCCAATCAACCGGTAGCGTTCCTTCATTGAACGTTCTGTTCATAAGTTGCGTTAGTGGTCTAGCCAAAGTTTCAGCCCCATCCTTAACTAGGCGTATAATAGGAATATCGGGCAGGCCAGATGATTTAACCTTTTTCGAACGGCTAGGGTCGTATACGACCCACATGGAGCGACGTTAATACATTCCTCCCTGGACCCATTTGGCTTTCAGTTAATAAATCGGTAAGCAACAACGTCAGCAAAGATAGATCTTTCCAGCGATAACTCGTTTTGGATATCCTGACTAATCCTGACAGAGTTACACTCACAAAAAGGTAACATTTTGGGGAAAAATCCACTGCCAATCTCGCTGTTTACATACTACTCTTTGAATATTACATTTTCCCCTTTCCAGCCACAATTCCACGCCAAAAGTGAGCAACCAAACCGCCAATAAAGAAGGAAAAGAAGGTAAAAAAGAGAGCGAGAGAGAAAGGTCGAAATAGATTCTCCAAAAAAAAAGTCCGAACTCGTCGTTTTTAGCCATTCTTATGCCAATTAGCCAAAACCCAGTCCAAAGAATAGGAATTGGTGAAAAATGCGGTTTTTTCGCTACTCTCCGCGGCTGTCACCAAAGGGTTAAGGAATGTTTTATACTTTGTACAGACGATTTTTTGTACTTTTAATTTGTAGAAACAGTGACAAAACGCGAAACCAACCCTCTTAACAATAACAGAATTGGTTGCAATTGCCATAGAAAGTCTTCGCCATTGATGAACTCACATGCATTTCAGTAGTCAAAACATTATTGGAGCAATTGGAAACAATGTCAAAGATCCAAGCCAGCAAGGGAAATCACCCCTCCATTATTTAAGCGAGAAGGCAATTAGACGCTCGCCTTCCTTCCGTGGCCCGGCTTAATGTTATTGGTTCTCTCCCTTGCTCTCGGAGAGGTTTTTCTCCAGGTGCTTCCGACCGGTTTCCTCTCTTCTAGACTATGAGTAGTCCCCCATTTTTCCTCAGGGATAGTAGAGCG